CGTCTGCCGATAGCCACCCAGCAGCCCTGTTTAGGGTGACCTGCTCCCTATCGGGGGGTTGGGGCCACAGGATTATCTTCGGGACCACGGTGAGGAATATCCATGCTATCTGGCAGACAAAGTCACTCAGATTCACTTGGAGTTGGACTCTGACTGGGAAAGTCCTAATGAATTGCCCAGGGAACAGTCTTGTGATGTTATGTGGGCTGAGTTTGATTCTGTTGCACCTGAGGAAGTGGACAAGGTCCTTATGTCTGTTAGTCCTTAAGGTTGTTTGTTAGATCCTGGCCCCTCCTGGGTTATTAAAGCAGCCTGGGAGGTGGCCACAGGGTGGGTTCATGTGGTAGTTTCAGCCTCTTTGAGAGAGGGGGTGGTCACACCAGCCTTGAAGGAGGCGGTGGGACGCTCCCTCCTCCAGAGGTTGCCGCTGGACTCTTCCCTGTTGGAGAATTATTGGCCAGTTTCCAACCTCCCCTTTCTGGGAGAGTTGTGGAAAAGGCGTTGGATGACTGCTGCAGAAGATCTTGAAAGAAATGGATTATCTGGACCTGTTTCAGTCTGGCTTCAGGTGAAGTACAATAGAGAGGCAATGTTGATCACACTTGCTGATGACCTTTGGTGGAGCCAGGATGAGGATGGTGCATCCAACCTAGTGCTCCTTGATTTGTCAGCGGTTTTCGATACTATCGACCACAGTATCCTTCTGGACTGGTTCCTCAGCAGTCGGTTCCAGTGTTGATTGGGGGAGAGATCATGTCCACAGCCCCTCATGTGGGGTGCCTCAGGGCTCAATGCTCTCCCCTCTCCTGTTCAACATTTACACATGCTGCACAAACTGTCAATGTCTTGACCCAGTCTCTGGAGGCTGTTCGAGTCTGGATGGGGCAGAACAGACTTTGGCTCAATCCTAACAACTGAGTGGCTGTGGCTGTTTGAACCCCTTAGGTTGGGGATGTCACCATCCTTGATTTTGGATGGGACTGCACTTCCCTAGTCAAGACTGGTGTGCAACTTGGAAGTCCTTCTGGACTCACAGCTACTACTCAAAGACCAGGTGGCAGCTGTGGCCAGAGGGTCCTTGCACAGGTTCATTTTGTGCGCCAGTTGTGCCCTTTCATCGACTGGGAGGCCCTTCAGACAGTCACTCACGCCCTGATCACCTTACACTTGGATCATTGCAATGCACTCTACAGGGGGCTGCCCTTGAAGACAGTTGGTTCAAAATGCAGTGGCACGAGCACTAAGAGGCACCTCTCAATGTGCCTATGTATCACCACTGCTAGGCAAAGTGCATTGGCTGCCAGTTGGCTTCCAAGTGCAATTCAAGTTGCTGGTTATTACCTATAAAGCCCTGTATGGTATAGGGCCTGGATATTTGAGACCACTTGCCTTCTCTGTTGCGGCCCCCACCCTGTGGAACAGCATCCCCCCAGAGATAAGGATGGCACCCTCTCTCCTAGGGTTCTGGAAAGCCTTGAAAACCTGGCTTTGGTATCAGGCCTGGGGCTGATGTTCGTTGTTTAATGGCTCGTTTTGTTTTGTGGGTTTTGTTAGCAAAGTATTTTAGTCTGGAGCTCGGTGGCCAATAAATTTAAATAAATAATGTTTATAAAAGCTGTTACATATTTTGCTAAAAGAAAATGTACAGATACATGAGCAAGCAATAAGATATTTGAATGCACATTTAGTCATTTGAAACAATAGCCATCTATCCTGGCCTGGCAAGTAGAGAGGAGATATCTTCTATTTTGTTTTCATTTCCCAGATTTCTGGTGAAAGTACAAAAGTATGAGAAAGCTTTCTGCACCACTTGACATACTTTAATGTAGGCAAAATATACATGTTGGGAAGTTTATTGTACTTGTTGATTTAGAGAAAGTATATGATAGGCTTGAATTATGTGATATATTAGATCAATATGGAATTAAAGGTTGATTGCTGAATGCAGTAAGAATAATATGTGATGGGAGTAAATGTGTGTAAGAATAAAAGGAATGCTCAGTACTGTTCAGTACTGAGCAGAAAGATAAGAATGTGTAATGTTCCCTTGGTTGTTTAATGTATTTATGGATAAATGTATGAGGAATGCTTGTGGTGACATTGGAGGTGTACTGGCTGGGGACATGAATCTATATGTACTTTTGTATGCAAATGATACCATGTTGTTGGCTGAGAATCTGAATGTTACATAAATTGTTGTTGTTCAGTCGTTGAGTCGTGTCCGACTCTTCATGACCCCATGAACCATATCACACCAGGCCTTCTTGTCCTTCATTGCCTCCCGGAGTTTGTTCAGTTTCATGCTCATTACTTCAGTGATGCTATCTAACCATCTCATCCTCTGCTATCCCCTTCTCCTTTTGCCTTCAATCTTTCGCAGCATCAGCATCTTTTCCAAAGAGTCTTCTCTTCACATTAGGTGACCAAAGTATCTGAGCTTGAGCTTCATTATTAATCCT